CTATGGATTCTTGCAATGTCTACTCGGGTTCGCTTCTATCAATACGGTGGTGATGCTTTCAATTGATCGATATTTGGTTATTGTTCAGCCATTTAAAACACTGTCAAGAAGCAGCCATCAACGCGTCTTACTGATGATTGCAGTCGCATGGTTTTGGTCCCTTATGTGGAGCTCACCTCCTTTCTACGGTTTTGGTAAGTTGTTACATGCACTAATACAAATTTATTTTGTTTTGTGTACTACACTTATATTCCCAATTATAATGACGCCAGTTTCTACGCAGAGTAGAAAATAGTTGAGAAGATAGCTGAGAATGACATTCCTTTGACAGTTCCTGAGTGTATATAGACCTTCAGTGTTTCAGTATCCCTCTCCAGCATCTGTTCGATTTAAAGGATCACGAAGCGTACGGGCGCGGTTTTATAGAAACCTTTCTGATTTTGTTCTGGGTATAGCCTACTGAACCTAAATAACAGGTGGATATTGGCAACCAAAATAAGCACACTTTTCAAATTTGCCATTTTTTGTGAATGAGAAGAATGTTTTGTCGAGAACAAATACTCGCGCTGCAGCGTAAATTTAGGGTTCAGGAGAGAGTCCAGCGCATGTTTCAGTCTTCATCTGTACCGAATGACGAAAACAACCATAACTTTAATAAATTTCTTACTTTGCGATTAGTTTGTTGGTCTGTGTGGCATCTATAATATAACTGCATCCTTTTTTATTGTATTCCACCATCAAGACACGATCGACTGAGCGTGTTTGCTGGTACATACAATGCACCATTCAACAAGCGTATTGGCATCTTAGGTAACACGAGGCTGACTCGGTTACACAATCTTGGAATGTACTGTGGAATACGCCATTTGGAATCTTTTTTGAGAACTTAACACTTGACAGGATCGCTTAATACCCCGCCAAGCGCGCATGTTTGGGTATAGTGACAAGATACATGCAAAACCTAAGTAATCAATTCTACTGTAAATAAGTGGACATAGTAGCAGAAAAGGTTATAACGATGGAGGGGAATAATGAGATACTGCACAACTGATTCATGTGGTGTTTGTGGTGGCTATGTGTTGTCAGTGAGATCGTGGCGCTTTGTGTTATTTGTGGTAAGTTAAAATTTTCTGTGAATGCTTGTCACGAGAAGGAGTATGGTCAATCGTGTAGCAGCGCTTTCGAATTGCAAGTCGATGAGAGTGCAGGCTACCTATCTAGCAAATGTGTGACAGCAACAATGAGTCAGTATCCTTGTGGTTGTCAGCGAGGCATCCAACGAACCTGCATCGGAGTAAGAATTTCCGTCAACCTTAAACGTGGGATTAACAACTTTTCGACTACTATGCTACCCTGTAATGAGGGAAGCTAGGCTAGTCCTACCTAAAATCGAGTGCACCACAGAAACAAATCCGAACCTTAGGGTTATCCTAAGAATGGAGGGTTCAAACTTGCTAATATTTCTGTAGTAATAAGCAAAATACTTGAGAACTAAACAAAGTATACGCTTTCTCTCGCAATATATTTTTTGATATGTAGGTCGCTATATCCCGGATGGACTGCAGACATCTTGCAGTTTTGACTACCTTGCACACAATGTCAACAATTATATACATGTTGCAGGAATGCTCTTTTGTGGGTTACCGATTCCAGTCGGCATAATTTCGTTCTGCTACATTCGAATCATACAGGTTATCAAGAGAAGCATCCGAAGCTTATTGAGAGTTTCCGCTTCTAGCAACTTCAACAGTATGCATCCACGTAAGTCGTCAACTAATTTATAAGAATAAAAACCATCCTGCAGGAAACACTTTTTTGTGAAAATGTATCAGCCACTTATCATACATACTTTAAAACATAAAACTTCAAATTTAGGTGAATTTCAAAATACCAGAGCGATC